ATCACTAATGTTATTCATGATTAGAAAGAGCTTCAGTTAACTTTCAAAATCACTAGTAGCATAAATAATCCCTTGCAAACAACCAAGAGAAGTGAAATTTGTAATATGGAAACAAATGAAATGCCAGAGGATACACATTTTATATTGGAAGTCGACTGTTCTCTTTTGCTTTCTTTCTGTTTTTGTTCTTTTTAATAAAGCTAAAACCTGGGGAAGTTTCTGCTTTAGGTATCTACATATGCAGTGATACAAAAGAAAAATAGACCAAACAATGCCGTAATTATACTAGTAAAACCAATCAAAAGAGACCAACAGAAAAGCTCTATAAACTACTTCACAAAATGTCAAGTACGACAACTATGACAGTTACAACCTGTGCTATAAAAGCTCAGCCTTTTGGTTGCACAAATTTTGAATTTGTTTTACAATTGTTCTTCACAATAAGCTAATTAATAAGTATTCAAAAGAAAACAAGGAAAATAAAGGAAAATGATAAAAACAGGTAATTCTTGAAGGAACGGTATAAAACGAACAAGGTATTTCCAAATTCCAAACACTAATTCCCAATAGAAACAGATAATAATAACAACATAGCTAAGCACAGTTACACAAGAACATGACAGAATCACTTCAGAACAACAAATTTCAAACGAAAAAACAAAAACCCAGCATAAAGCTTCAATCTTTTTGGCAAAACAGTAAACTTACAGCCATTTTAGCTTAACCTCGACTTTAGAACACGACACAAATTGAGAACTCAAATGAAATCTGGGCTTCGGATCCAAAAGAAAAAATAGATTTTTGGGATGAGCTTAACTCAGAGCTCCCCACCAAGAAGATAGAAAAAATATCTTCCACAATTAATGAACAAAAGTCGGAGAGAGAGATGGGAAATGGAAAGGAATTTATGATGAGTGAATTATTTTGGGGAGCTTGAAGACAACACACGACCGTTGACCGGCGCCACCGGTTGTTATTGTTTTGACTATTCGTCTTACATTTTACCCCGTTGTTTTTTCTGCCTCTATACCAAGTCCTTGCTCGCCTTCAAAATTGATCACTTTTGCATCATATATATACTCTAATGTGAAAACGATCATATGAAAAACAATTGAGATGATGTAATGCATGCACTTTTATTATACAGAAAATAACAATTATCTTTGTTATGTTATAAAACTAGATAGAATAAAGAATAGAGAAACTGTATTTTTTTTTGTGTATTTTTCATTGTAACTGAAGTCCCTATTTATAGGAAAACTTCTGATGGCACAATCGTAATAATACAATTACATTAGGGGCAAAATAGTCATTCACATACAATTTTTTAATCACCTCATGAGGTGCATGCTTATTATTATAACACTCCCCCTTGAATGACTATTTTTAAATAAATTTTAATCATTATTCTAACATAACATAATCTGAACATTTTGAACTGTATCTTGTGTCCATCAAGTAACGCTGCTTCATCATGTCAGGAAAAACTTGCTAGTACAAAACCTGATCATTTTAGAATCAATCCATTACTCTCTCAGGAAAATCCGTTGGGATAAAAACCTGATCATTGTGGAAACACAACATTGCTCCCCCTCAAATAAATTATATTTATTGGAGTATTCATGTGTTGCCTCGTTAAAACCTTGTCAAGAAAACCCAGTGGAAAAAACTTGATCGAAGGAAAAAGAGTACAACTAATCCAATATCTTCTTATTATCATGAGGAATCGTATCGATTATCCAGTAATCCTCATTATACCATGAATATATCTAGTTAAAACCTTATTAGGAAAAACCCAGTGGGACAAAAATCCTAATGAAGGAAAAAGAGTACAATATTCATGTGAATATTCCATTTATGTTGCCTCATTAAAAACCTTACTGCGAAAACCCAATGGGACAAAACCTCAGTTAAGGGAAAAAGAGTACAACATTTGGTCTTCAGGACCTAATCTTCTGGATTATTTTGAGTTTGCCCCTTTCCTTGAAGACAATAATCTTCCTAGTTTACGCATACCAATACAATAAATGTATTTTTCAAAAGTAGATGTAGGAAAGGGTTTTGTGAATAGATCTGCCAAATTCTCGCTAGATCGTACTTTTTGTACAATAATCTCACCATTCTTCTGGAGCTCGTGTGGATAAAAGAATTTTGGAGCAATGTGTTTTGTCATGCTTCCTTTTACATACTCATTACTCATTTGTAAAACACAAGCTGCATTGTCCTCGTAAAGGACAGTGGGTGTTATATCATTTGTAATTCCACATGACTCACGAGTATGTTGGATTAAAGATCTTAACCATACACATTCTTTTGAAGTCTCGTATAAAGCAATTATCTCTAAGTGATTTGAAGATGTAGTAACCATGGACTGCTTGACTGACTTCCACGATATTGCAGTACCACCACAGAGAAAAACATATCCAGTCTGAGATCTTGCATTATGGGGATCAGACATATAACCAGCATCTGAATATCCCACCAATGTCATATCTTGGTTATTTTTATAAAGTAAACCAAGATCTTTTGAACCTTGAAGATACCTAAAAATATGTTTAATTCCATTCCAGTGTCTCCTCGTAGGAGAAGCACTAAATCTTGCTAGTAAGTTTACTGCAAATGCAATATCAGGCTTGGTGCAATTTGCAAGATAAAGTAACGCGCCAATAGCGCTTAAGTAAGGAACTTCTGGTCCTAAATTTTCTTCGGTATCTTCTTTAGGTCTAAATGGATCCTTATCCGCTTCAAGGGATCGGACAACCATAGGTGTGCTAAGTGGATGAGATTTATCCATGTAGAATTTTTCTAAAACCTTTTCCAAATATGCTGACTGATGTACAAAAATTCCTTCAGGGAGATGCTCGATCTGCAGGCCGAGGCAATATTTGGTTTTACCCAAATCTTTCATTTCAAACTCCGTCTTTAGGCATGAGTTAGCTTTATCAAGCTCTTCTTTTGTGCCAATTATATTTATGTCATCGACATAAACTGAAATGATACAAAAACCATTCTTTGACTTCTTTATAAATACACAAGGGCACACATCGTTATTTACATAATTATTTTTTAACAAAAACTCACTCAGCCGGTTGTACCACATTCTACCCGACTGTTTTAAGCCATATAATGACTTTTGTAATTTAACACTGTACATGTTGCGTGTTTCATTTCCCTTTATTTTGGGAACTTTTAATCCTTCAGGGATTTTCATATATATATTTGTGTCTAATGACCCATATAAATATGCGGTCACAACATCCATTAACTGCATATCTAAATTCATATTTACTGCCAGAGATATCAAATAGCGGAACGTTATTCCATCCATTACAGGAGAATATGTTTGATCAAAATCAATACCGGGTCTCTGCGAAAACCCTTGAGCAACTAATCTCGTTTTGTATCTCACCACCTCATTATTTTCATTTCTCTTTCGTACGAACACCCATCTATATCCTACTGGGATAACATTTTGAGGTGTGCGTACAATAGAGCCAAAAACTTTTCGTTTATTTAGCGAGTCTAGTTCAACCTCAATTGCTTCTTTCCATCTTACCCAATCTGAGCGCTTCCAGCACTCTTCAATTGTTTTAGGTTCTGGATCCAGATTATTAGAGATGGTAAGAGCAATTATAGAGGCAAATGTATCGTCGACGACTTTGTTACTTCTGTTATAAGTTTCTCCTGTATCAACAAAGTCCATAGCTACTTCAATATTCACATCTACCAGATCATCATCATTTCCCAATATATTTTGATCTGGATGTTCTGCAATCCTAGTACTTTTATTATTTGTTGCACGTGCATTTAAACTAGGATTTTCGCCTTCTGGACGATTCTTTTCTGGAGATTTCGGGAGTGATTCAACATTTTTATTAGATTTTATTTTCCGCGGATTATTATCTTTTGTACCAATGGGTCTCCCACGCTTCTGGTGTAGAGCCTCTGTAGGAATATTATATTTCCTGGGGACTTCCACTCGTTGTGGTGCATTTATAGAAGGTACATGTGATTTAGTCACTCCTTTATGATCAGTGAATGCATCTGGCAAATTATTTGCTAAATATTGCAAATTAATTATCTTTTGAACTTCAAGATCAGTCTGACCAGTGCGTGGATCTAAATATTGTAAATTTTGTACATTCCAATAAATTTCTCGGCATTTATTTATGCTTGGGCTTTTATCTCCCCCTAATGCCGTAAAATTCGTTTCATCGAATATACAGTCAGCGTATCGAGCTGTAAATTGATCTCCAGTCATGGGCTCTAGGTATTTAATAATAGACGGAGATTCATAACCAATATATATACCTAAATTTCGATGAGGGCCCATAGATGTACGCTGTGGTGGTGATATAGGAACATATACTGCACAACCAAACACTCGCAGATGGGAAATATTAGGTTCTTTACCACGCACTATTTGTATAGGGGAGTAATCATGATATGCAGTAGGTCGGATTTGAATTAGGGCAGCAGCATGTAAAATTGCATGTCCCCAACATGAAATTGGTAAGTTGGAATTTTGTAGTAATGGTCTAGCAATTAATTTGATGCGCTTAATTAATGATTCGGCTAAACCATTTTGTGTGTGGACATAAGGTACCGGATGCTCCACTTTGATGCCTAATGACATACAATAATCATCAAAAACTTTCGACGTAAATTCGCCGGCATTATCCATTCTAATAGTTTTAATTTGATAATCAGGAAATTGAGCTCTTAATTCAATAATTTTAGCAAGTAGTTTTGGAAAAGCCTGATTTCTAGTGGATAATAAGCACACATATGTCCATCGAGTGGAAGCATCTATCAGGACCATAAAATATCGAAAAGGTCCTGATGTTGGATGAATTGATCCACATATATCACCATGAATTCTATGAAGAAACATAGGAGATTCAATTCCAACTTTAGTACGTGAAGGTCTTAATATCAATTTTCCCTTTGCACAAGCATCACAAATAAATTCATTAAAAGAAGGGAGGCTGCTGTTTGATATGTTATGCCCAATAGAGTTAGAAATAATCCGACGCATCATACTAAGCCCAGGATGACCCAATCTCTCATGCCATAATTTAAATAAATTCGGGTCTTTAAATTTTAAACTCAATGCAACATGACTAATAGAAGGTCGAATGTAAGTATGATATAAGCCTGAGGAGAAAGAAAGAAGTTCTTCTACAATTTTCTTTTGACTTCCTTGTGAATGAGTCATAAGAAGGTATTCTATATTATTTTCAGTCTTAGTTTCAAGATGAAA